AGACAGTGTATAGGCTAGGTGGACAAAGACTACAGACCTCACTCAAGGAGAAAGATCTTGGGGTGATCATAACACCGAGCACGTCTCCAGAGGCATACATCAACCAGATAACTGGTGCAGCATATGGGCGCCTGGCAAACCTGAGAATAGCGTTCCGATACCTTAATAAGGAATCGTTGAAGACATTGTACACTGTGTACGTTAGGCCCATACTGAAGTATGCAGCACCAGTTTGGAACCCACACCCTGTCAAGCACGTCAAGAAGTTAGAGAATGTCCAAAGGTTTGCAACAAGGCTAGTTCCAGAGCTAAGGGGAATGTCCTACGATGAAAAGTTGAGGGAAATCGGACTGACGACACTGGAGGACAGAAGGGTCAGGGGAGACATGATGACGACATACAAGATACTGCGGGGAATAGATAAGGTGGACAGAGACAGGATGTTCCAGAGAGGGGACACAGAAACTAAGGGTCACTACTGGAAGCTGAAGACTCAGACGGGTCACAGGGATGTTAGGAAGTATTTCTTCAGTCATAGAGTCGTCAGGAAGTGGAATAGCCTGGCAAGTGACGTAGTGGAGGCAGGAACCATACTTAGCTTTAAGACGAGGTATGATAAAGCTCAGGAAGCAGAGAGAGAGAGAGAGAGGGGACCTAGTAGTGATCAGTGAAGAAGCGGGGCCAGGAGGTGAGTCTCGACCCCTGCAACCACAATTAGGTGAGTACACACACACACACACACACACACACACATACATACACACACACACACACACACACACACACACACACACACACCACACACACACACACACACACACCACACACACACACACACACACACACACACGCGAAGACAGGTTAAGGGAAAACGGTCTGACGACACTGGAGGACAGGGGAGACATGATAACGACATACAAAATACTGCATTGAATAGATAAGATGGACAGAGACAGGATGTTCCAGAGATGGGACACAGAAACAAGGGGTCACAATTGGAAGTTAAAGACTCAGATGAGTCTAAGGGAAGTTAGGAAGTATTTCTTGAGTCTCAGAGTTGTTAGGAAGTGGAATAGTCTGGCAAGTGATGTAGTGGAGCCAGGGATCTTACATAGTTTTAAGACGAGGTATGATGAAGCTCGTGGAGCAGAGAGAGGACGGACCCAGTAGCGGTCAGTGAAGAGGCGGGGCCAGGAGCTGTGAATCGACCCTTGCAACCACAAATAGGTGAGCGCACACACACAAACACATACACACACACACAGGAGAGGTTAAGGGAAATCAACCTGACGACACTGGAGGACAGGAGAGATAGGGGGGACATGATAACGACATACAAAATACTGAGAGGAATTGACAAGGTGGACAAAGACAGGATGTTCCAGAGATTGGACACAGTAACAAGGGGACACAGTTGGAAGCTGAAGACACAGATGAATCACAGGGATGTTAGGAAGTATTTCTTCAGCCACAGAGTAGTCAGTAAGTGGAATAGTTTGGGAAGCGATGTAGTGGAGGCAGGATCCATACATAGCTTTAAGCAGAGGTATGATAAAGCTCACGGCTCAGGGAGAGTGACCCAGAAACGGTCAGTGAAGAGGGGGGGCCCCGGGAGTGTAAATTCGACCCTTGAAACCCCCAAATAGGGAGCGCACACCCCCAAAACACAAACACACATACCACACATCCCACATACACACATGCCAAAAATTTACACGTACACATACACCCCGATGCTGGGAAAAAAACAGATGGAACAAAAGGGTTGGAGGGGGGAAAGGGCCATAAAAACCAAGGGGTTTTTTGAGGAAGCTGGGGGAAAAAGGAACAGGAAAAAGCAAAAGACAACGAATAAGGCCGCTTCTTTTTGGGCCCCAGGGTTGAAATTTCAGTGATAAAAACACCCCTCAAAATTTGGCCAAGACAAAATGTGATGAGAGAAAACAGAGCACGGGGTTGAAACAGGGTTAAAGGGTGCCGGGAAAACACCCATTCCCCCAGACAAACCCGGGTAAAACGTGCAGGGTTTTTGCTAATTGGGGCCCGCATTTTATGCTAGGGACCCGCCTTTTAAAGCTGGGGGGGCGCACATTTTAAAGCAAAAAAAGGGCCTGAAATGTTTTTCTAGTGAGCCCGCATTTTGTTATTGAGCGAAAAATTTTTATGCTAGGACCCTGCATTTTAAAGTTTAAGGGGGCCCAATGTTATGCTGGGTGGGGCCTGCATTTTAAGCTATTTGGGGCCCGCATGTTATGTTAGGTGGGGGCCCTTTGTTATGCAAAGTGACCCCTGTTTTTATGCTGGGTGAGCCCGCATGTTAGCTAGGGGCCCCTGCATTTTATGCTAGGGACCCCGCTTTATGCTTGATCCCCCTTGTTATGTGGTGGGGCCTGCATGTTATGCAATTCCCCCCCCGGCATTTTTATGTAGGAGCGCGAAATTTTCTATTTGAGCCCACATGTTTTTGCTAGTGAGGTGCATTTTATGCTAGTAAAGCCCGCATGTTATGCTAGTGAG